ATCGGGACTTTGTAACAAACCGTCCACACAAAATCAACCAATCAGGAGTCTGTAACAAACCGTCCACACAAAATCAACCAATCAGGAGTCTGTCACAAACCATCCACACAAAATCAACCAATCAGGAGTTTGTCACAAACCATCCACACAAAATCAACCAATCAGGAGTTTGTCACAAACCATCCACACAAAATCAACCAATCAAGAGTTTGTAACAGAGATCTAGAATTAAAGAAAAAAAAGAAAAAGAAATCCAAAGTTGCAGCAGTCAGGCAAGAAACATAGGAAAAAACAGGGTTCGGCGGTGCAGAAACAGGTTGTCCAGGTTATCAGTGGTTACCGGGGCCTGGGGGAGGGAGAAATGGGAACCTACTGCTTAAAGGGTTCTGAGCTTCTGTTTGGGGTGATGGAAAACTGAGGAATAGACAGTGGGGATGGGAGCACAACTCGGTGAAAGTAATGTCACTGAATTGTAGGCTTCAAAACTGATGAAGTGGCAAATGCTTTGTCATACACATTTCCTCACAATAACATTTTAAAAAATGATTAAGATGGCAAAATTTTTGTTCTATATATTTTTATAACAATAAAATTCACAAACAAACAAGTTCTCTACCAGAACCCAGGGAGAAGGAGCAGCCCCAGGCGAGGCTGACCTGAGTGAATCCTAGAGCAAGCGTGGGCTTCCTCCTCTCCACACCCTGAGGAGACGCAGCTGCATATTGAAACAAGAGCTGCAACTAGGCCTCTGAGATCTGAATTCTGGCTGCTTCTCAGCTCTTAAGCACCTTTAATGTGCCTTAAACTCTCTCGCCCTCCCCCATCCACCCACACAAGGGGGTCTCTAATGGAAAGCTTTAACAACTTTCCCCTTAGACAGCCCTCAAAACCAATAGCTCTATCTCCTCAGAAACTGGCCCGAGGGAAGCTAGGGAGTGAGGGGGCAGACAGAAGGGCAGGCCTGGACCGTGCCCGGGCGCTGTGCAAAGTCAACTTAGAACTTCAGTGGGGGCTTTTTTTTTTTTTTAAAACAGTGCACTTCAGACAATCTCTCTAACCTTCAAGTGTGAAAATCTAATTTGCTAAGAACAAGCTGATTTTGAATAGAGATAGCTATTTCCTCTCAAGGCATCTACTTCCTCCTGCTCCTTGTAATAGCCATCTTGAAAGGCTCGCTTGCTCTTGCAATGCCTTTGCCCAGAGGAGAAGGGAAACTAGGTCTGCCAGAAAGCTGACTCCGCACTGCCTCGGGGACCCACTCCACTGGCCTCCTCACAGAACTCAAATTCTATCCTGGGAAGGCTGTCAAGCTCTTACCCGTCTGAAGCAGGGTTTCTCAACCTGGCACTACTGACATTTTGGGTTGCACAATTCCTTACTGGGTGCGCTGTCCTGGGCATTGCAGTCTGCGTAGCAGCACCCCTGGCCTCTCACCCGCTAGATGCCAGTTGAACCCCTAACCCAGTCATGAGAATAAAAATGTCCCTAGACATTACTAAATGTCCCCTAAACCAGAACCGTCACGTTGATTCCAACTCATGGGGACCCCCTGCATGTCAGAGTAGAACTGTGCTCCATGGGGTTTTCAAAGGCTGCTTTCTGGAAAGTAGGCCTTTCTTCTGAGATGCCTCTGGGTGGAATGAACTTCAAACCTACCGGTTAGCAATCGTGTCTCCAAATGTCCTAGGGGCAGGGGGAGGGAGACAAAATCACCCCCAACTGAGACCCACTGGTCTAGACCGTAGCTGGAAGGTTATTGTAGGCAGAAAGGAGCTAGCAGGAGCAGGGGATGGCTCTTTTATAATTTCCTGTGATGTTGCTTGTCTGGGCTTCCTTTAGGAGGGAGCCGTTTACCTGAGCATCTTCCAGTTCACCCTCCAGGCTCCTCTGAGCTGTCAGGGCGTACCTGGAAGGTTACTGCAGGTGGAAAGGAGCTAGCAGGAGCAGGGGACCGCTCCTTTACAAGTTCCTGCAATGTTGCTTGTCTGGGCTTCCTTTAGGGGGGACCATTTACCTGAGCATCTTCCAGTTCACCCTCCAGGCTCCTCCGAGCTGTCAGGGCCTCCTTTTCCTCCTTTCTGGCATGCACAAGGGCCTCCTCTAGCTGCCGCTTTTCTTCCTACAGTGAAACAGTGGGTCAGCGGGTGCTTAAATGTGTGCTGAGCCTGAGTAAAAGGAATACAGAGACACCCCCAGACGCAGCACAGGCTGCGCTCACAACGTTCCACTCCCCGGCCCACGACAGCACCCGCCAGCCACGCTCCTGGGTGTCTGTGTCTGTCTGTGGTTCCAGTTCTCAGCCGGGTGTTAGCATCCACAGAATCGAGATGCTTCTTGAAAATACAAATATCTAGTCTCACCCCCGGAGATTCCGAACCAGCAGGTACTGAATAGGCTCAGGCAGATAAAGTTTTGTAAAAGGACTCCAGGTGACGCCGACAGATGACCACGTTTGGATGTAGTCTGCTGGAATCCATTGCCCTTTGCCTTTCTTTTGTCCCTGCTTCCATTGTCAGCTACCGTTTCTCACTGCCACCTGTGTGTGCCTCTCACTTCTGGGGGTCTACTGAACCAGATCACTGGTCTGTTAAAAACCATGTGACTTCAAAGACCATCGACTGTGTGTTAAAAAAGAACAAACAGTCTTGGGTGACAACAGGCCTGGTGTGTTAGGTCGTCTTTTCGCGTGCTAGGAGCTGTCGGCTAAGCATCAGAGGTTGCGTGTGCCAGAAGCCTGAGGTCTGGGTGAGTGGGGGTTTCTGGGCCCCGTCCTGTATTTTCCGCCCTGACCTTATCAGCCCCATTCCCAGGCCTCCTCAGAACCATATCTCTCGTTCACACCACTCCCTGACAAACGAAGCAGCAGCTTACCCAGAGGACGCATTCATAATTGCATTATATCTTTCTTAGTAAATTATGAGAATAAATCCCTTCCCACTCCTCCAACCACTCACACAGGAAAGAGAGATCAGCGGCTGCCATTCCGGGCTGGGGGCCGGCGAGCCTTACCTCGTGCTTCCTGAGCGTTTCCCTTGCTTTGGCTTCCTCGCCTTCCAGGTCATGGATCTGCCTCTGAAGTTGGACGACGTGCCGCTCCAGGTCTCCGACTCTTCCCCGCAGCCTCTCGTTCTCCTCCTTCAGAGCCTTCACCCGCTCTTCAGCCCCCACCTGGTTTTGTTCTGAGGTGTTGCTCCGGCTGGCGAGGACCTCAACGTTCTGTTAAAAACATGGATCAGGAAAATATGGGCATCCGTGTCAAGGGGCAGTCCCCAAGCACAAGGATGGCCAACGTGTATTAAAATCCCACCATGTGTCAGGCATTGTGCTGAGCCAGGGGTCTGCAAAACACAGCCTGCAGGCCAAATACAACTCGCCGGACAAACGCAGCCCGCCGGACGAACGCAACCTGCCACCCGTGTCTGAAAATGAAGTGCTACTGAAGCGGGCCATGCCCGTTTGTTTACATGTTGTCAACGCTGCTTTCACACAATGGCAGAGTCAAGCAGTTACAGCAAAGACCGTACGGCCGCAAAGCCTAAAATCTGTACTATCTGGTCCTTTACTGAAAACGTTTGCCAACCCTTGTGCTAAGTTCTTTACATGCAATTCCAACCTTGTAACAACTCTAGGAGGCAGATACTATTCTTATCGTCATTTTAAAGATGAGAAAACCGAGGCTTAGGAAGAGGAAGTAGCCTGTCCAAGATGGCGGAGGAGGCGTGCAATCAGGCAGCCTGGCCCCAGAACTGAGCTCTTAAGCACCGCCTTCAGATGTGTTCACTTCCCTACCCTCTTATCACACGCAGCCTTTAATGAGCTCTAGATGAGCGGCAGTTTCTGCTTACAGATTTTTTAAATGCCCAATACAAAACAGACATTAAGATCTGCTTAAATTATAATAGAGTTCATGGTGCAGGCTTTAGTCACTATCATCCGAAAATGAGCTTGTGCTGCACACAGTCCACCAGAGAAATAAAAGCAGCAAGTACAGGGTGGCTATTGTTAATTCCAGATATGACAGGGCTGTTTACTCTTGGGCTGAGCAACCTGAAGTGACAGTAAGTGGCTCTCCGCAAAGTTCCAGCTCTCCGGGCAGATCTCTTGCCTGTTGTCCACTTCACCACTACTACAAAGATACTAGCTTGAAGCCACCGTGGTTCAATGGTAGAATTCTTGTCTTCCATGCAGGAGACGAGGGTTCGATTCCCAGTCAATACACTTCATGCACGGCCACCACCCGTCTGTCAGTGGAGGTTTCCCTGTTGCTATGATGCTGAGCAGTTTCAGCGAAGCTTCTAGGCTAAGATGGACGAGGAAGAAAGGCCTAGCAACCTGCTTCAAAAAACCAGCCAATGAGAACCCTATGGATTACAACAGTCTGATCCACGACCGGTCATCGGCATGGGGCAGGACTGGGCAGCATTTCCTTCCACTGTGCACGGGGTTGCCACGAGCTGGGGGTGAACTCAATGGTAGCTAATGACAACAACAGAAATACCAGTCTGGGTCACCTACACAGGTAACAGAACTCACAGCAAACTTAATGCTCATGAAACAATGCCGCGGGTGCCTAGAAGGAAGAGAAGGCCCGGGGAAGGCAAGATTTGGCTTTGGCCACTATGTCATGGTCCCCTCAGGTGGGCTATCTGCTGGAATTGCTCACGTAGTTTGGGAAAAGATCTTTAAATCATCTAACAACAGACTAAGCTGTATTATTCTGAACTTGACAAATAGAGAATTTTAAAAACCAGAGCACCTTTCTGAAACCCACGTTAAGTTCTATATGTCTGAGAAAGCCCATCAGAGCAAAGCAACTGAGTTGGCACGAGTTTAGCTGGCACGGCTAGAGGAAACTAAGGGGCCAGGCATCTGGAATTTCTCAGGACTACTTGGATATCATCTTCTACTGACACCAGTGAGAGGGTGCATCACAAAGATGAACAGAAGAGAAATAAAGTGTGGTTGTAAGCTTGAGAATCCAATAACTAGCCAGACCAGAAAAAAAAAGTTTAGATTGCCCATCCCTGCGCTAACTTGGGAGATTGCTACAATAAACTGACTAAAAGACAAGAGACTATAAACTACAGTTTTCAATACAGTGTGGTACTGGCTTAAGGACAGACATATAGATCAATGGGATAGTATTGGGAGTCCAGAAATCCTTACAGTTATGGTCAATTGACTTGTAACAAGAGTACCAAAACAATTCAACGGGAGAAAGAACAGTCTTCAACAAATGGTGCTGGGATAACTGGATTGTCCACATGCAAAAGAATGAAGTTGGACTCCTACCTCACACCATATACAAAAATTAACTCAAAATAGATTACAGACCTAAATGTAACACTAAAACATAAGAACATAGAAATAGAAAACATAGAAGTAAATTTTCATGGCTTTGCGTTAAGTAAAGACTTCTTAGATATAACACTGTCATGGACTGAACTGTGTCCCCCTAAAATATGTGTCAACTTTGCTGGGCCATGATCCCCAGGATTGTGTGACTGTCTACCATTTTATCATCTGATGCGATTTTCCTATGTGGTGCAAATCCTACCTCTATGATGTTAATGAGGCAGGATTAAAAGCAATTATATTAATGAGGCAGGACTCAATCTACAAGATTAAGCTTTGTCTTACGTCAATCTCTTTTGAGATATATAAAAAAGAGAAGCAAGCAGAGAGACGGGGGACCTCATACCACCAAGAAAGCAATGCGAGGAGCAGAATGTATCCTTTGGACCCGAGGTTCCTGCGCTGAGAAGCTCCTGGACCAAGGGAAGATTGATGACAAGGACCTTCCTCCAGAGCCGACAGAGAAAGCAAGCCTTCCCCTGGAGCTGGCGCCCTGAATTTGGACTTCTAGCCTACTAGACTGTGAGAGAATAAATTTCTTTTTGTTAAAGCCATCCACTTGTGGTATTTCTGTTATAGCAGCTCTAGATAACTAAGATAAACACTAAAAGCAAAAGTAATACAAGAAAAAAAATTCATAAATTGGATTTTCATCAAAAAAAAAAAAAAAAAAAAACTTGTGTTGCAAATGATACCATCAAAGAAAGTGAAAAGATAGCCCGCAGAATGGGAGAAAATATTTGTAAACCATGTATCTGAAAAGGAACTTGTATCCAGAATATATAAAGGATTCTTACAACTCAGTAATAAAAAGACAAATAAACCAATTAAAAGGTGGGAAAAGGATCTGAATAGACATTTTCTCCAAAGAAGATACACAAATGTATCAGCATCTCTAGTTATTGGGGAAACGTAAATTAAAACTACAAGGAGATACCTCCTTCACACCCACTAGGATGGCTAGAACAAAAAAGACAGATAATAACAAGCGCTGGCAAGGATATAGGGAAATTAAAATCTTCATACATTGCTGGTGGAAATGTAAAATGATGAAGGCACTTTGGAAAACAGTCTGGCAGTTCCTCAAAATGTTAAACATAGAGCCAACATATTAACCAGCCGTTTCACCCTTAGGTATAGAACAAAAGAGAAATGAAAATATGTGTCCACACAAAAAATTACACATGAATGTTCATAACAGCATTATTCGTAATAGCCAAGAAGTAGAAATAACCCAAATGTCTATCAACTGATGAATGGATAAACAAAATGTGGTATATTCAAACAATGAAATATTATTCAGCCATACAAGGGAATGAAATACCGATACAGCTACTCATGGATGACCCTTGAAAACATTATGCTGGGTGAAAGAAGCCAGATGTGAAAGGACAAATATTACATGATTCCATTTATACACCACCGTCCAGAACAGGCAAATCCATGGAGATAGAATGTAGATTAGTGGTTTCCTAGGGCTAGTGTGGTGACGGAGAGAAGGGGCAGGGAGTGCCTGCTAATAGGTACGAGGTTTCTTTTTGGGATAATGAAAATATCTCAAAATGACTGTGGTGACGGGCGCACAGGTCTGGGAACATACTAAAAACCACTGAATTGTACACTTCAGATGGATGAGCTGTGTATTACATGCATCATCTCTCAACAAAGCTCATCTTTTAAAAAAGACAAAGTAAACTCAGAGGCAGGTGTAGGGGTGGTGGGAGAGATGGTGTGTTTAACCGAGTGGTCTAGATTTTCGCGGGAGGTGTGAGTAAGCGGAAGAGGAGATTCGAGATACCCGCCTACATCAGATTTACTAAAATGGATTTTTTTGGGGGGCAGCTACCACTACTATTTATTTCCAAACTCTAGGAAGCAAAGCACACCTACATGTGTGGTCAGTGTTTTTTTTTTTTTGTTCACCCAGAATTCCCAGGAAGAGCAAGGAAAGGGATGAAGGGCAGCTGGGGTACTGAGAACTAGATCTGGTTTAACTTGGATTTGGGCCTCCAGCACGTGAGGTAAGGGAACTTGGCTGGCATTTGATGTTTAGGCCTCGGTGGAGCACGTTCCGAGTCCTGAGGATAGGTGCTGGGAGGACTGCCCAGGTAAGCGTATCTCTTAGCTGGTAGCTGTCCGAGACCTGCCCCAATCCTAGCGAAACCTGTCCCCAACCTGCCCCAGTCCTAGTGAAACCTGCCCCAAACCTGCCCCTCTGCTGACCCAAACACATCTAGATAAAACTAAAAGTCTCCAAGTTCAACAACTACAATAAAGTGTCGTGATTAAGACACTTCACAGGCTGAGTACGCCCCTCGGGAAGCCTGTATGTGCTGTGATATTAGTCAGCTTAGGACTGTTTGCAAAGTGATGTGTTTCTTTCCTAACTCTATCACACAATGTTTACAAACAAATTTAACTTACACCTCTGTTGACAAACCTTTCCAGAACCCCTTCCCTGTCCTTGCCCCCACCCCACATCCAGTTCATCATTTTATATAGCGCCGGTATGACAAATCTCCATTTCTTGAAAACCAAACCAAACACATTGCCGCCAAGTAGATTCCGACTCACAGTGACCCACAGGACAGGGCAGAACCGCCCCATAGGACGGGGGTTTCCAAGGCTGTAATGTTTACAGAAGCAGACTGCCACATCTCTCTCCCGCAGACAGGCTGCTGGGTTCAACGGCTGACTTTTGGGTTAGCAGCCAAGTGCTTTAACTACTGCACCACCAGGGTTCCTTCCCTTTCTTAAAACCATACCTAATTCTTCTGCCTCAATCTGAGATCTAAAAAAATAAAAATCATATACCTTTTATCAAGGCAAGTGCTCCATGCAAGTCCGTCCCACCATGACTT